AAGTTCCGTAGCAGTTCGCCAATATTGTCCAATTCGTATCTGACCTAAGTCTGATATAAATAAATATTACATCGTGCCATAATTGGACAATATCGTCTACTTTCTATACGTTATATGAGATATGTGCACACTTTTGGAAAATGTGGAAATATGAGTGAGGTAATAGTGGACCGAAGTATTCAATTTGCATACTTCATCTAATATAGGAAAAAATATTGGTATGTGCAAAATTTGAAGGAAGTCGAACATTCATATCTTATTTTACGCAAAATTATAAATTCCGATAAATTACATATTCATATCAGATTTCTGGTTAAGAGAAATATTTAGATATAGGAAGTTGTACAGAATTGCCGACTTGTTTCGCAAGTTATGACAGATATAAGCATTGGAAATTGTGAACCTTTGTGGGTGAGATATCAGAAGGGGTTGGGTCTTGTGTTAGCAAGAATATTTGGATGAAGACAGTTGGATGCTTATTTCGGATTTTAAAATCGTTTTGGTTATTCAAAACTTTGACCCTTTGTGGGGGAGGTAACAGAAGGAATGGTCCGTCCACTACCATGTTTATGAAACATCTTGTGGTGATGGATAAATTTAGAGTCTGAATGGAATCGGATGTTAATTTCAAGTTTTATGGGCTTCATGGATATTCAAAATTTTGGCCCTTTGTGGAGGGGTACCAGAAGGAATGACAGATATATCTTCATAGCAAATCTTGTGTTAGTAGAAATAATGGGATGTGTGAAATATGAAGAGAACCGGATGCTTATTTCGGATTTTGTAATCGTTTTGGTTATTCAAATGTTGACCCTTTGTGGGGAAGGTACCAGAAGGAATGTTCCGATCACTACCATTTTTATGAAAGATCTTGTGTTGATGGAAATATTGAGATGCACCAAGTCTGAATGGAATCGGATGTTTATTCCGTGTCTTATGAGCTTCTTGGATATTCAAAATTTTGACCCTCTGTGGGGGGAGGTATCAGAAGGAATGTACCGATATATTCATCTTCACTCCAGATCTTGGGTTAATAAAAATATTGTGATGTGTGCAATTTGAAGGGAACTAAATGTTTATTTCGGATTTTATGATCGTTTTGGTTATTCAAAACTTTGACCCTTTGTGGGGGAGGTACCAGAGGGAATGGTCCTATCTTTACCATCATTATAACAGATCTTGTGTTGCCGGAAATATTGGGATGTGCCAAGTCTGTATGGAATCGGATGTTTGTTCCGTGTCTTATGAGCTTCATGAATATTCAAAATTTTGACCCTTTGTGGGGAAGATACCAGAAGGAACTTTGGATTAATAAAAATACTGTGATGTGTGTAATTTGAAGATGATCGGACACATACATCACATTTTAGAAGAGTTTTAATTATTCCAAATTTTGACCCTTTGTGGAAATGTACTTGTTGGAGTGCTCCGATATTGTCCATTTTCGCACCTAACCTAGCACTTATCCTTTCTCTTTCTATGCAGTAAATTATTTTCTTTGAAAATTTTGAAATTTTTGTGGGGGAGGTACCAGAAGGAGTGGACCGATATTGCCCATCTTCGAACTCTATCCAAATTCGATAATATTATGATGTAATAAGTTTGAATCAAACAGACGGACGGACACCGCTAAATCGACTGCAAATGTCCTGAAACGGATTTCATTAAAAGAGACCTAGGGTCTAAGACCGTTATTTCGATGAGGCAAGTTTTGAGGGACTGAGGGTATAATAATTATACTATTACTTACCTTAAGACATTGTTCTCGCAGGCCAATTTGTTGAAGCTCATTTTTATAATAAGTATGCCACTTCTCCATTTCGCCTTCCATTTCGCGAATGTAACTACCCTGGGCTTCCAAATTCGTGTGTAGAGCATTATTGGTTTTCTCTTTTTCCTTGGTACGATTCTGCAATTCCGCAACTGTCCTCTCCAAGCCCTGCAACGCCTTACACTTGTTTCGCAAAGCATTACGCTCCTCAATTATTATCTTGATATTTTTGGCGTCCTCATCGCTTATTGTACTGAGTTTTTGTTTTTCCATTTTATTCCTTAGATAATTATCTTCAATGCTACGCAAAAGTTTACACTCCTTGCGCAGGGAGTTGATTTCCTTATGCAAGTATTTAATATCATCGGATGTTTCATTATCCACGGATATCTCCTGCAGGGTGGCACGCAGTGAAAGCTTTTCTATCAAACGTCTGAGATAATTATTTTCAGCTTGCATTATTTCGTGGGCCTTGTGAAGGTTTTCCATTTTCTGGTGGATTTGTAACATTTCGTTTTCTTCATTTTTATTCAGTTTTCCATTTGCGGTGAGCTGTTGTATTTTATTAAAGAAATCTTTCGCCGCATTGGAATCTAGTTTGGAATTGAGTATTTCTTTGATTTTAGAATTTTCAATGTTACTGGTCTTCAGGCGTTCATTGGAGATGTGCAATTGCTTTTCCAAGGACTCTTTGGCATTCACAAGCCGTTGGTAATCGGCCAGGTGTATGTTGGCACATTGCAGCAAACTGTCACCGGCTGATAAGTTTGGTAGTTGTTGTTGTTGCGGCATCTAGAGTGAAGAGGAAGTAAATTGGTTTTCATAGATGGAAAGAAACAAGCAAAATATGCAGAGTTCTTCTTCGGACGGACTTACATGTATAAACCGACTCACAAAGTGATTCTATGAAGATCTTCAAAAGTAACAATGGGTCTATGTCGCATCTTTCTCCATGTTACAAACAAATGCGCGAGACATAATACCCATACCACTATGTGGTGTAGGGTATAAATAATATTCTACCCGTAGAAGACTTTCAAAAGTCTTTTTTCCACCCAATCCATCAAATTTTCTGTTGCCTTGAAAATATCTTAAAAATGTCTTCTGTCTATAGAAAACTCCCTCGCATAAAGATTCCCTTGATCAAGTCGTCCATGAAAACTCCACTATCAGCCATAAAGACGTCCTCCTCAGTCCGTACTCATAAAGAATTCCCTTTCCTTATTTATAATGAATTCAAAAGTCTAATTTCAAAGTCTAATTTCTCAGGTCATTTATAGACTCCCTACTCAGCTCGTCTATAAAGAACCAATTGTCAATTTGTAATTTTAGACTTCCTTGCCATCTCTTAAAGGTTACTTTCCTATCTCGTTCATATACTCGGTTTTCAGCTCGCTTATAAACTCCCTGGTCTTTAAGACTGCGGTCTTATCTTTTCTATAAAAAAACTCCCTTTCGAAGTCGTCTGTAACCTCCAAGCTCGCCTATATAATACCATTCACGCTCGTCTATAGACTGCCTTTATTTTTTGTTAAAACTCCTCTTTCAGCTACTCTACAGACTCCCTTTCCGGCTCGTCTCTAGACCCCCTTTCCGGTTCGTCTATAGGCTCCCTTTCCGGCTCGTCTATTGACTCCCTCCCTAGCTCGTTAATAAAAACTTCCTTCCGGGCTCGTGTATTTAGACTTCTCTAAGAAACTGCGGTCTTATCTTTTCTATAAAAACTCCCTTTCGAAGTCCTCTGTAGCCTCCCAGCTTGTCTATGCAATCCTATTCCGGCTCGCCTATAGACTGCCTTTATTTGTTATTAACTAACTCCTTTTTCAGCTACTTTACAGACTCCCTTTCCGGCTCGTCTTTAGAATCCCTTTCCGGCTCGTTAATAACAACTTCCTTCCTGGCTTGTTTATTAAGACTTCTCTTTAAGCTGATTTACAGACTTACTTCCTTTACCAACTCGACTGTAGACAATTTCTCAGCTTGTTCTCACTTCCTTTTTCACCTCGTCTATGTTAGCATCCTGATTAGCTCGTTAGTTCGTTTAATAAAATTCCTATTTTACCTCAGCTATAAAGACGCGCATATTGGCTCGCCCTTTCTTCCCCCATTCCTTTTTCACCTCGTCTATATTTACATCCTGATTAGCTCGATAGTTTGTTTAATAAGATTCCTATTTCACCTCAGCTATAAAAACGCTCATCTTTGTCAATAAAGTCTGCCTTTTCAACTCATCTTCTAAGACACCCCTTTTCATGACCACACCCCTTTTCATGACCACACCCCTTTTCATGACCTGCAACCCTTTGGAGAATATAATGTCGAACTTCCACACCAATTGTTCTTACCTCGACCCTTATACCCGAAGCATTATCGTTCTTTGATAATTTTGATTTAAGACTATGATCAGTGGTATGAGCTGGCAGTACTTCGTGGGTATTAGAGATTTCAGGCTTTTTGATGCGTGATTGACTTTCAGCATTACTTTGTGAAGATTTCACGCCACTCCCAGGTTTATCAGCAATATTTTTAGCTTTAACTGCCAAACTTTTGGATTTACTTGCTTCTTCTTGATTTTGAGACAAGATGCTCTTGGCAGTGACTTTTTCAATTATAGACTGTTGCCTTTCATTTTCCGTGTGCTCCTTAACCTATGGGAAAACTAGAATATTATCTAAAACTCTATATTGGAAGTCTCAAATCTGTTATTCCCACCGGTAATTTACATGCCACTAAATCTTCTAGATATTTTGATTGTTTCGTCTGATCTCTTGCCCAGGAACGATAGTCCAGCGATGATTCATAGGTTTTTAGTTTGACACAAGCTTTCTTACATTCATTTTCGGGCATTTCATTCATAAAAGATACGGGGAAAAAATCTTTTTGCGTGGAAAAGGCCATAGTCTGCGGAGTTGGCAGAAGGAAGACGGAGACGACAAAATAGATTGAGTGCGTTGTAGAAGAGAATTTGGAATTTATTTTTATCCCACTCTCAATTACACCAAGCCAGGAAGACAAGGAGGTACTGTACTATCGAAAATCTTAAAATACAATACTTTCAGTTTTGGGAAATGTTATTTTTTTGTAAATTTTCATTTGAAAGAATAGCAAAAGGTTGCTATGGTTTTAAAAATAGACACGGAAGACTATCACACAACAAGTAGTGGTTTATTTTCAATATTTCTCTAATAAAAAATCTTGCGTTATTTTAAAATTGTGGATGCTTATTTTTATTTTTCTCGAGTTTCATTTTTTTCTATTACAAACTAAAACAACAATAATTTTGTTAACAATTTACTTTACTCAAATCCCTGAGCTCTTCGTATCGCCGTTTCTTCATCGTTTGTATTCATGACCGTAAAACCATATGGTTGCATTGTCATACTTGCAGTACCCGAACTGATGGTACGCAAAATACTTGAATAATTCGATAGTTCTGCTAAGGGCGCATTAACCAAAATCAATTTGTTCTTATCGCCCTTTGGCATGACATCATTGATGGTGGCTCGTCTCCTACCCAAATCGGCTAAAATTCCAGATGTTCGTTCATTGGGTACAACAATTTGTATTGACATAATGGGTTCCAGTAGTCGCGTACCATTTTCTGTTAAAATCTAAAAATGAAAGAAATATAAATGCTTACGAATTATGTTGTGCCTCAGAAATTACCTTTTGAATACATTGTGCGGCTGCCGCCATTATAAACGAATCTGCTGTTCCCCTTCCTATGGTAATATTGTGCAATTTAATTTGGGTTTCCACCACCTGTCCCCCCACCTTGGGTCCTCTTTCGAGGGCGGATATACAACCCTTGCGTATGACTTGCAGCGTTCTCGGTCTTATGGCCAATAAATTATTTGTATTTTCTGGCGATTTATCTAAACTGAATATGTCCTTTTTATCCTTTACTAATTCCAATGTTATTGTTACACTTTGCTTCGAGCCGGCAATCTCTTTTTCCATTGTCAGAGTTGTTTTGGCAGGATTTTCAATTGTTTCCTTATAGGCAATTTGCAGGGGACCCAAATCAACTTCGATCTTGTATTCCGTTAAAATGCGTGACTTTATTATATCCATATGTAGTTCACCCATACCACCCAAAACCGTTTGCCCCGTAACAGCATCAAAGGAAACCCTCAAACTTGGATCTTCTCTTTGCAGTTGTTTCAAAGCCAATTCCATGGCATTTTGATAGGCCGAACTGGGTGGTTCTATGGAACAGAAATACACGGCATCTGGTATTTGGTGTTCCAGTGAAAAGATTTCATTAATGAGATCCACATGTACTTCGTCATCACCATCATCGACATTGTTGGTCATGACATCAGTTTTCTTCTCCAGCGATTTTTGTAAACGTTTTTGGGCATTTTTCAGAGATGTTGTACTTGTTACCAACAAATCTCCGGTAACGGTGTGCTAATAATATCAAAAAATTTAATTACCACAATTTTTCAATGGAAGCTATTTTCAAACCTTCAATCCTGAACACAAAGCTACATCACCTGCCTGTGCCGCTTGAATTTCCCGATATTCATCGGCCAGGGGTTCGTACATTTTGCCCACAACTTCCGATTGCCCACGGGTCGAGGTTAAGCGCATACTTTTTTTCAGATCGCCTCGGAGTATACGTACCAATGTCAGAGGCCCTCTCTGTTTGTCGTGGACAATTTTAAAAACTTTACCTACAAAATCATCTCTACATCAATATAACAATAAGCAGGTTGCTCTAATTTTGCCAATAACAACTTACTCAAAACAGTCATACAATTGATTACGTTCATTTGGATGTGGTAGATACTGTATGACAGCATCCATTAGATGTTGAACCCCCACATTTTTATATGCTGATCCCAACATGACTGGTACAACTTTTTGTTGGCAGGTGGCTTGTCGTAGGGCAGTGTATATCAAATCATTTGTTACCTTGTCGAAACCATCATTGCTAATGACAAAATCAGCCAAGTTATCATCTATACCGGAGAGTTGGTCAATTAAGGCATTTCGTTTGTCTTGTAATTCCAATAAGGTATTTTCATCTGTTACCGGTTTCGATTCGTAGACACGGCCCAGACTTTGGGCATTCCATGTAATATGTTCCAGACGTATTATGTCGTAAATAGCTGCAGGCACAACAAATTACATGGTAATCATATTCAAGATCCAAAACGGAATTTTAATACTCACACAAATTTCCTTTGGAATCTTTGAGTGGATATTGCAAAGATATTGGCTTGGCATCCAATTTAGTTTCTAGATCTATAAGGCATTTATCAAAATCTGCATCAGGACGATCCATTTTATTGACAAAACTAATTTTGGGCAAACGATGCTTTTCGGCCTGTGACCAAACCGTCATGGTCTGAGCTTCTACACCCGCTGTACCATCCAACACAACAACAACACCATCCACTGCATAAAGCGATTGTTCCACTTCCATTGTAAAGTCTATGTGACCCGGTGTGTCCAAAAGGTTTATTCTATTAAAAAAGAAAAAGACTTCATGATAATTATTTACTATTTCACATTCAAAACTCACTTTTTATCCTTCCAATGAAATGTAACCGCTGAACTGCATATTGTAATACCCCGCTCGCGTTCTTGTGTTAAATAATCAGTTACTGTATTCCCACGATGCACTTCACCCAATGAACGTGTCTTTCCCGAATAGAAAAGCATACGTTCGGTAGTGGTAGTCTTTCCTAGAGGTTCAATATTTCAGTTTTCATTCAAAAATTCTAATCGAAGCTCTTACCGGCATCGATATGGGCCAATATCCCAATGTTACGTATATCTTTGGTGCTAAAACAACGTCTATGGATATTTGGTAGCCTTTTACATAGTTCCCATTGAATCGCTTTAAACAGCGACATTGTTAACAAATATATGGCAGATAAATAAATGGATAAGTTCCTGAAAATCCGAGTTTTGGAATTTAATGGCCAATTTGGCTGGACATGCCACTAACAGGTGAAATTCTACAAATCAAAACAATGCTTCTTCATATTTTGGTCCATTAAAATGGCATGCAAATTAACTGATAGCTCCACTTAAAATGCACATTCCGTCTAATTAAATATTTATACTTTATAAATTTGTAAATTTTCGTTATAACTCATCACATTCAATTAATAATATGAATAACATTTTGAAATAATGTAGAATTTTAAGCTACAATTTTAAATTAAATGCTGTTTCTTTAAAAATGTGCAATTCCAAGGGTATTGATATCAAATGTATTAAACAGACGTAGGAAACTGTAAGTCGTTTTTTGATTTAGTGTAAAATTTGTATGAAACACCCTGTGAGCCAAAAATGCCGTTGCAAACCGTAAAGAATCTACAATTTTAGCCAATTTTTACTAATCCAAAATGAACGTTCGGCGTGTCCACTCCTTCAAAATTTAAAAAAAATATATATATTTTCTGCTCAGAAAGTGAAAGAATAATTCAATTTTGCTCTAACTTTGCAAATCCTAATGTTTGCGTCAGTGATAGGTCAGTAGCGAAAATGGACAATACCACTGCACTCCAAGTCGAGTACTTCCCACACAAAAGGTCACAATTTTCAAAAAAAAAAAAAATATTTTTTTTTGCACAGAAAGGGAGTCAATAATCCAATTTTGCTCTAATTCTGCAAATCCTAATATTTGCGTCAGTTCTGAGTCAGGTGCAAAAATTGATAATATCAGTTTACTCCATCAAGTGTCTCTCCCACAAAGGATCAAAATTTTGAATAATTATAACTCTTATAAAATATGATGCCAGAGTCCGATTGTCTTCAAATTTCACACATTCTAATATTTTCATTAGACCAAGATCTGGTATTAAGACGGAATATATCGGTCCACACCTTCTGGTACCTCCTCCACAAAAGATCACAATTTTGAATATCCTTTATGCAGATAAAACGTGAAATTAACACCCGATTCCATGTAGACTTGGCACATTTGAATGTTTCTATCAACACAGGATCTGTTCAAATCTGTTCAAGCGTCAAAGTTTTGAATAATTAAAACGTTTAAAAATCCGAAATAAGCATTAGGTTATCTTAAGATAAATAAATTTATATTTCACACATACAAACATTTTTTGTGTGTTTGGCATACAATTTCAAAACAACGGATCAAATGCTAGATTTTAATAAATATTATCTTAAATTAAACAAACTCTCTGAAAAGTGAAGTTATAAGAAGAAAATATTGTAGTCTGGTGATTTCTATATTGATCGCTAGTGGATACTCCGCTTTAATGGTAAATGGTAATTTGTAAAATATGCGAATCACCCTGTGACAGCTTGCAAGTTTTTTCTTTGCGAATTTTTTGCAAACACATAATTTACACAATTTTACGGGTATAACAAAAAACGGCAACTACTATCAAGAAAAACGTAAAATCTTCGCGTCATTTAATATGTATAAACTTTGAAAAGATATTATTCTTCAATTTGATGTGTGGCCACCGCGCATTAATAACGATTAATTCGTATTTTTGCATAAAAACTACTTTCGACTCACCCTGTAAAGGTTTAGCGCTTCAATTTTTGTTTGACTGCGTCATTGAAGCATCCATCCAGCAGTTTGTCCCATCCGAAAATCAGGACATCTATCCGATATAAAGATGTCCACTTCTACAAGGCCTAAGAGGAGAGCTGCTGTAAAAGCTGTGCAAGTGATAGAAATTAGTGATAATGATGATGACGATAGCTATGCTGAAGAGTCACCAGAAAAAAGACCAAGAAAGACTACTAAAGTTACGGCAAGGAAACCCAGGGCAGTGGTAAAGGAGCCAAAAGAGAAAAAGGAACGCACAAAAGCTGCAACAACACGTAAACCAAGAACGACTAAAAAGGCCGCAGCTGCTGCAAAAAAAGAAGAGGAAGAAATACAAGATGAAAATACCCCACCAAATGTTTTGCCAAGTGATGGAGACAATATTGTTGAATCAATTGATCTAGAGGATGATGAGGCAGATGGGCAAACACAAAGCCATGAACCTCAAATCGATTTCCAACAAAATGAGAGCTTTGAAGACGACGGCTGTGATGTCAGGCCCCATCCTCCGCCACAAAAAATACAAGGAAGAAGTAGTTTTTGGGGTGAGTTCAACAGGTGTTTCCTGCATTTAAAATATATTGTTTTAAATGGGTTTTTTAATTAATTTTGCAGCACGACGAAAAATCTGGACCATTGACGAGCTGTTGGCTGAGACAACCAATATTGAGCCCAGAGCAGCCAAGAATATTGTCAATTTGTTTGAAAACGAAAACACTATTCCATTTATCTGTCGTTATCGTCGAGATTTGATCAACCACATTCAGCCCGAACAATTGCGAGAAATTAAAACTTGTTACACGGAAATTGTTAATTTACGTAAAAAGGCTGAAACCATTGTGACGACCTTGGAAAAGGAAAATGTGATTGACGAGGAAATTCGTACGGAAATGCTGTGTGCCAAGTCACCGGAAGAACTGGAATTTTTGGTATGTGGACAGAGATGATTTACTTTTAGTTTAATTGTAATTTTTTTCCTATCACCACAGTATGCGCCTTACAAACCAGCCAGTCGTGGTTCTTTGGCAGAGAGAGCAAAAGCCTTGGGCTTGGCAGAGTATGCTGATCGCTTATTGTATGGGGAATTGCCTCATGTCAATTTGAAAAATATTGTTGATCGTAAAAATCCAGATTTGGATACCGAAGAAAAGGTATTCAATGGTATATGCCACATAATATCTCACAATATAAGTAAACATACCGGTGTTTTGGAGGAGATAAGGCGATTGTAAGTATTATTGTTGGAGACAGAACTTACAGACCTAACAACTATTTATAAATTGTGCAGGCAAAAAGTACATCGCATTACGTTAAAGACATCTAAACTAAAACCCTCGAAGGATGCTAAAGGCTCAGAAGAAGCTAGCAGCAGCAATCATCATCATCATCATGGTGGAAATAAAAATGATGCTACCAAATACGAAATGTACTATGACTATTCGAATGATGTGCGCTATTTAAAACCCCATCAAGTTTTGGCCATAAATCGTGCGGAAAAACTGAAATTTCTTTCGGTTAAAATAATTGTAAATGATTATTTCAAAAATGAACTAGAACGTTATATACGTTCCATATTTCTCGAGGAGGGTGTCAAATATCCCCTACGTTTGGAGATCTTTAATAAATCCTTTGAGGAGTGTTATAGTAAAAAGTGTAAGTTGGAATGTCCTTTAAAGGCTTAATGAATATTAATTTCTTTAATGTTACAGTATATCCCTTGGTATCACGTCAAATACGTTCGGATCTCAATGAATCGGCCAAGAAAGCCTCAATTGACGTCTTTGCCAAGAATCTCAAACAATTGCTGTTAATGTCACCACTGAAGGGTGAACGTATTTTGGGTATTGATCCAGGATTTGCAAATGGTTGTAAGATTGCTGTCATTTCGGAAACTGCCGATGTCTTGGAAACTGGTGTTATATATCCTCATCGCCGTAACACTGATCCCGAGGAGTGGGGTGAAAAATTGGCGAAAATTTTAAAAAGACACAAGTATGTAATTGTTTTTATGGTTTGTGGTTTCTTTTAAGGGGGTCTTGGCTTTTCTGCATATAGGTGGGTTTCTGCATATAGAGAGGTTTTTTGGGCTTTTTTACATACAGAAACTACCACATGCGAAGAGTACTACGTGGTATCAGATCTCTTCCCGACGAGGAGGAACCACCGCATTTTACGTTAGGTGATGTTGCAAATGTCATTCGGAATGCTAAGTCATCTAAAGCGTTGGGCCCAGACGGAATCTCAATGGTAATGCTGAAACAACTGGATACGCCAGGTGTCGCTGTCGCTAGCCACCCACATAGTTCCCGAAGTCTGTAAAATGGGTCGGGTGGTGTCGCTACTGAAGCCAGGCAAGGATGCTAGCAGAGGCCAATCGTACAGGCCGATTTCGCTTTTGTCGCCAGTAGACAAGACTCTTGAGGCTTTACTCCTGCCCAACATTAGAGGAAGCTATCCAGTGGCCAACCATCAGCACGGATTCTGTCCACAACATAGTACCACAACATCATTAGACGCCATTACCACACATATTAGTAGAGGATTTAACCAGAACAAGCCGTGTGACAGAACAGTGTTGGTAGTCCTTGACCTATCAAAGGCATTTGAAGCGGTCAGTCTTACCATACTGTCTGAGGACGTGCAGAGAACTACCCTCCGGTAAAGTTTAAAACGTTGGATAATCATTCCGGAACAAGAAGTCCAAAGCCCGTAGAGTGAAACAGGAAGTTCCCCAAGGTGGGGTAATATCTTCGGAACTCTTTAACCTCTACCTTTCTGGAATTTCTCACCCTCCAGATGGGATAGATATCGTAACGTATGCGGAGGATTGTATGATCATGGCGTTGGGCCCAGTGGTCGATGACATATGTGAAAGGTTGAACCCCTATCTCGCGGAGCTTGCCGCATACTTCCACGCGAGGAGTATGAAAATATCCGCCCGATATCAACGGCCACACTCTTTACCACATGGTCTGCGGAGATAAAAACAAAGCTGAATGTGCAGGTCGAGGGAAATTTTATACCGACCACGAACAGCATGTTCCAGTCGTCCGCGTAAGCCACTGCTATCTGCGACAAGATGAAAAGTAGGAACAAAGTCCTCAAGGCGCTAGCCTGAAGCACAAGAAAACCTTGTTAATCTCTTATAACGCGATAGGTCGGTCTGTGGTGAGCTATGCGGCTCCAGTGTGGTCTGCAATACTAGTGCTACACAGTGGAAGCACATTAAGACCGCCCACAATGCCGCTTTGAGAACTGCGACAGGGTGCATCCTCATGACATCAGTGAACCATCTACAAGATAAACAACCAAGTGTGTCAGGAAGGACATACATTATCTAGAGAGGGAGGTTCAGCGCTATAAGAGAGAACCTCTAGATCAAGAAGCCTATCAGGCAGGTCTGCGTGGCATTCATACCGATGTAGTTGCAGATGGACAAACCAGGGTAGTTCTGACGCAATTATTTTCAGGATGGTGCAGTCGTCTCAATTTGTATTCGGTACGATGTGACGAAGGTGCGTGTGACGTCTGCCTGTCGTGTGGTACAGGCCCGCACAATACCCCGCACCTCTTTAATTGCACAGCCAAACCTACCCAACTCACTCCAGAAGATCTCTGGCTACAGCCCGTTAAAGTAGCTGAATTGTTAAACCTGGAGCTTGAAACAGATTAGCAAAATACAAGCATCCATATGTACTACTGCTACAACAACAACAACCAGATGTTTGAATTAAAGATTTTTCTGCTCCAAAATAATTAAAAGTGCCTGGTGCTTTTTCTTTTTTTTATGATCGAAAGAACTTAATTAGAAGATGTTCGGAAAATCTTTAAAAGCAACCCTGACGGCCATATTTTTTTAGAGACCAAATGTTTGTATTTTAGGTAGGTCAATCTGTTCTCTTTTCCAAAGATCAGAATTCCTTACATTATACCAGTGGCACATAATAAATTTTGTATGGCCCCGTTTTTTTATGGAGGGATTCTGTATAAATATCTCGGGATTATTTTTAAAGAAATTCTGTAGGTCTTTTTAACACGAAAATTTGCTTATCTCGATACTTATGCAGTATTATAGGACTTTCTACATAGGATCCTAGGGATCAAGGCCTTGTGTTTTTTTTTTTCTTAAAATAAAACAGTTGATATTTATTCAAGCCCTGGCAAAAATGTAAGTAACATTCACATTTCTCCCTCTTTCAGATGCCGCTTAATCGCCTTGGGCAATGGTACTGCTTGTCGTGAAACTGAATTTTGGTTATCCAAACTTTTTGAATTGGGTATTTTAGATTCAAATCTAATACGTTATAGTATTGTCTCTGAACAGGGTGCATCGATATATTCTTGTAGCGATGTGGCTAAAAAGGAATTTCCCAATATGGATATGAATGAAATAAGTGCTGTATCAATTGCACGACGTCTCAATGATCCACTTAGTGAATATGTTAAAATAGAACCACGACATATTGGTGTTGGTATGTATCAACATGATATCAATGAGAAGCAATTAAGTGAATCCCTGAACGAAGTTGTTTCGGAATGTGTAAGTTATGTGGGTGTTGATATCAATACTGCGAGTATAACGGTGTTAAAGTAAGTGAGGATTAAGGTTTGAGTAACGAAATTTGGGGATTTAAATAATGCTTTTCTTTTCCCTTTCAGACACATAGCTGGTTTGTCTGAAAAGAAGGCCGAAAAAATATTACAGCATCGTGCAGATAATGGACCATTTAAGACACGCAAAGATTTATTGCAAGTAAAGACAATTGGCGAAAAGACATTTGTACAATGTGCTGGGTAGGTTGGAGTTTCAAATATTTCGAATTGTAATTGCTTAAATATTTTCTCTTTTATAGTTTTATACGCATTGATCCTCGTAGTTTGGGCGGACGTATTGAAAATCTTCTCGATTGTACTTGGGTGCATCCAGAAAGTTATACCGTGGCCAAAAAGTAAGTCTCATGAAATAAACTCATCGACACTCATAACATTTATGGCTACCATTTTATTTCCAGAATAATATCGAAATGTAAACTGCAATTGGATGACATGGGTTCGGCAGAGTTTATACAAAAAATTGGAGATTATGTAAAGTCAAATAACATTGAAACATTGGCTAAGGAATTTAAAACCCCCAAAGAGAGAGTTAGTCATAAAATTAGTACTTCCATTTTTTCCTTTTCATTAATGTATTCTCTTCTTGTTTTTTTTTTTTTTAGTTGGAAGTAGTATTCCAAGCACTGCAGCGTGAGCTGTTCAAAGATTATCGCAGTGATTTCGATAAGAAACCATTATTTAAACAGGGTCTAACACGCATCGACGAACTGTCGGAGTGTGAAGTGTTGACGGGCGCCGTCACGAATATTACACACTTTGGAGCCTTTGTTGATGTGGGCATCGAATGTGATGGCCTAATACACGTTAGTAAAATGGGAAATGCCAAGTTGTCGATTGGTGATCGTGTTACCGTATCGGTAATATCAATAGATGTTAAACGTAAACGTTTGGGCTTACGTTTGGAAGAAATGCTTTTGGAAACGGACACCTCATTTTCGTTGGGTTAAAACGGAACTATTTATTATTAGTGTTTATTGTTCTATTATGTTAAATAAAACGAATGCTATATTTGAAAGCATTTAAATTTGAATTGTTGTTTTATTGAGTCAATAAGACTCGGGCGCAAAATTTTGTAATAGATAACGTGCCATTAGAAACTGTCGAGAGTATCAGAAAAGGGTAAGGACAGAAAAGGATGATTACACCTTTCGCTACAAACGGAGGAGGCAAAAGTGGAAAAATTCGAAAAAGTTAAATAGTATCAGTCGGTTTTTCTGACAGATGTATACCCCCATACCCTTAAGTTATGATTATTCAAACTGTTGGGGAGCTTCCGAAGCAGTTGGCCAATATTGACCAATTCGTATCTAGCCTAAGACTGATATACATATTAAAATGTATCAGATTTGGACAATATTGACTACTTCCTATACTTTATTGAGATATGTGGACATTTTTTGGAAAATGTGGAAATATGCGTGAGGTAAAAGGTATAGCGGACCGAAGTATTCCATTTCCATACTTCATCTAATACAGAAAAAATATTGGTATGTGCAAAATTTGAAGGAAATCGAACATTTATATCAAATTTTATGCGAAATCATAAGTTCCGATAATTTACATATTCATATCAGATTTCTGGTTAGGAGAAATATTTACATGTAGCAAGTTGTAAAGAATTGCTAATTTGTTTTGCAAGTTCTAACAGACATTAGTATTGGAAAATCCGACCCTTATTGGGTGAGGTACCAGAAGGGGTTGGCAGATCTTGTGTTAGCAAAAATATTTTGATTTGCGAAACTTGAAGAGAGTTGGATGCTTTTTCGCTTTCATTGATCGGTTTGTTTTTCAAAATCTTAAAACCTATGTGGGGGAGGTACCAGAAGAAATGGTCCGACCTTTCCCATCTTTATCACAGATCTTGTGTTGATTGAAATGTATCAAGTCTGAATGGAAACGGATGGTACTTTCCCGTTTTATGAGCTTCATGGATATTAAAAATGTTGAGACCTTGTGGGGGAGGTACCTGAAGGAGTTGACCGATACACCCCATCTTCAAAACAGATTGTGTGTTAGTAGAAATAATGGGATGTGTGAAATATGAAGAGAACCGCATGCTTATTTCGGATTTTATAATTGTTTTGGTTATTCAAAATTTTGACCCCTTGTAGGGGAGGTGCCAGAAGGAATGGACCGATCTCTACCATATTCATAATGGATCTTGTGTTGATGAAAATATTGAGACGTGCCAAGTCTGAATGGAATCCGATATTAATTTCGTGTTCAAGAGCTTCATGGTTATTCAAAATGTTGACCCTTTGTGGGGGAGATACCGGAAGGAGTGGACCGATATATATTGACACCAGACCTTGAGTTAATAAAAATATTGCGATGTGTGTAATTGAAGACAATCGGATACTTATCCTTTCTATTTCTGTGCAGCAAATTCTTTTCTTTGCAAATTTCGACGTTTTGTGTGGGAGATACCAGAAGAAGTGGATCGATATTGCCCATCTTCGAACTCGATCTAAGTTTGGTAATAATTGCATGGAATGCATATAATAAAGCCAATGAAACGACACTAGAGCAGACAGGGAGGTTTACAATTTAGGAGTCAAATTCTCGAATACATTTCGAATTCATTTCAATCTAATTAATTTTAATATGTATTGATAATTTCAGAGAAACATATATCTAGGCCATGAAGGCCGGAGACTTCAACAAGTACAAATTGATATAGGGGTGACACAGGAAGACCTTCGATATCAAAAACGCTAAAAAAAAAAACGAAAAACGCATTTCTTCGAAAAATAAAAAATCTGCTACAACTATATTCAATTCTAAACCATTGTTTAAATAAAACGCAAAACTAGTTGTATTTTGGAAGAATTTATTTGTATTAATTATTTTTGTTTTGTTTTTATTCCTTTTTCATTTTATTTTGAATTATTTGTCGTTAGTATATTAACAGATTTTTTTAATATTTTAAGAGTGTATTTTCGAGTGAGAGTGAGTTGTCTGTGAAGATGATTGAATTATTTGTTTTTGGTAAATATTTCGATTTTTAAATTTTTTTCAAAATTTTCCTTTTCTTTAAAACTGTATTTGATGAGTTAAAATTTTCTTTGCCATAAATGTGTCATTGCGTTGCCATAAAAATGATATTGTTTTATTTTACATTTGAATATTAAAGGAATGCATTTTTTAATTTTTTTGGGAATTTATTTGAAAACAAAAATTAAAAAATCGTTACAAGCAACATTAAGTTCGTTTTATTTTTGTTCAAACTAAATGCATTTTAATTCTCATATTTCATTTCAAAAATATTACATTGTGTATATGCCTCATTTTTATTTACTTCTTTCATTCGTCAACGATTATCATTTCGTAAAAGGTGTATTTTTAATACATATCTATTGTTTGCTTTTCGATTTTTTGATAATTTTATTTTTAATGTCTATGTATATATTTGTTTTCTGTTTCATTTCACATATAAAATCGTTTCTTTAATTAATTTTTTGAATAATATTATTTTTTAATTTCTCACAATTCGTCTTTGAAGATAGGTTTTCCACGAACCCTCCCGAGTCATTGTGGGAAATTTCTGTGGATTTGTTTAATTTGCTTTCAAGCTGTTTAATTTCAGTTTTAATTTTTTCAACCAAATTTTTTTTTTTTTTTTTAAATATCTTGTCGTTAGGTATGAATCATAGTAAAGGATAAAATAAAATTGTATATAATAATGTATACAAAATCCGACCATTGCGTCATCGAAAATAATTTTTTGAGTCCAAACTAAAGGTCGTTCGTTACATGCATCGCAAACTGACGCCCAAAAAAATTATTCTTTTTTGTATCGGTTCCAGCGGATCGCAATTCAATGAACTTATAGACGACGGAAGCTTTCATTTTTTATTTGCACGGTTAAGTGTGTGATTTGCATGGCCGATAAACTTAACTTCAAAAAAAATAAATAAATAAATAAATAAATAAATAAAATAAATAATAATTTTCAACAATTACAATTCTTTACTTGAATTTCTTTCTTGATTAATCATATAGGGTTTAGTTTTTCTAATCCAATTCCCTATTTACAATTCATAAATATTCGACAGTAGTTAATATTTTCAAAATTTTATGTTTGATTTGATTTCATTTCTGATTCGAATTTTCTCGATGATAAACGGTGAGATCATTCCGTCGCCTATCAATTCGTTAACAGTAAGCTCTGAGACCAATACTAAAATATTTTTAGAGCTTTTCGGCTGTGCAATTTGGTTCTGCCAACAATAAGTGTGTATGATAACCCAATTCTATGTAAATTTTCAAATCCAGGGAATCATTTTAAAAGGGAGTAATTTTAAAAGTTACAGAGACTTTTCAGAATCTTACTGTGAAAAAAATTCTCCGTAAAGATTATCTAGCTCTTAGATTGAGTTCGGAGATGGGCAATATCCGTTCACTCCTTTTGGTATTTCCCCCACAAACGGTCGAAATTTTGAAAGATACTTTTTTACTGCACAGAGAAAAAAAGGACAATCCGATTTTGCTCCAGCTTTACAAATCCTAATATTTGCATCAGTTCTAGGTCAGGTGATAAAATTGACAATATCGGTTCACTTCATCAAGTACCTCCATCACAAAAGGCCAAATTTTGAATAAGATGTGATACAAGTGTCCGTTTGTCTTCAAATTATATTTTATTATTCTGGTACCTGCCCCACAAAGGGTCAAAATGTTGAATATTCATGAAGCTCATAAAACGCGAAATTATCATTCGATTCCATTCAGTCTTGGCACATCTCAATACTTTCATAACCACAAGGTCTGTTATAAAGATGGTAGAGATCGGACTATTCCTTCTGTTACCTCCCCCACAAAGTGTAAACATTTTGAATTACCAAAACGATCATCAAATCCGAAATAAGCATCCAGTTCTCTTCGCACATCCAATTATTTCTACTAAACATGATCTGCTGTGAAGATAGGATATATCGGTCCACTCCTTCTGGTACCTTCCCCTCAAATTGTCAAAATTTTGAATATCCATGCAGCTCATAAGACGCGAAAAATTAACATCCGATTCCATTCAGTCTTGGCACATCTCAATATTTCCATTAACACAAGATCTGTCATAAAGATGGTAGAGAACGGATCATTTCTTCTGGTAAGTGCCCCACAAAGGGTCAAAGTTAGGAATAACCAAAATTATTACAAAATCCGAAATAAGCATCCCGTTCTTTTCATATTTCATATATCCCATTATTTCTACTAACACAAGATCTACTGTGAAGATGGGATACATCGGTCCACTCCTTCTGCTACCTCGCCCACAAAGGGTGAAATTTTTGAATGACTTAAACGATTATAAAATCCGAAATAAGCATCCGGTTCTCATCATATTTCACGCATTCAATTTTATCTGCTAACACAAGATCTGCTGTGAAGATGGAATATATCGGTCAATTCCCTCTGGTACCTCCCCCACGAAGGGTCACAATTTGCAATACTTTTATCTGTCATAACTTGTGAAATAAGTCGGCGAATATTTACAACTTGCTCTATCTAAATATTTCTCTTAACCAGAAATCTGAGATAATTATGCAATTTATGATTTCGCATAAAATTGGATATAAATGTTTGATTTCCTTCAAATTTTGCACATACCAATGTTATTATCAGTATTAAAGGAAGTATCAAAATGGAATACTTCCGTCCGCAATATCTGTTACATTACGCATATTTTCACATTTTCCAAAAATTTGCACATATCTAATATAAAGAAAAGGGTGAAAAGGAAGTATTTAATCAGTCTTAGGTCGGATACGAATTTGTCAATATTGGCCAACTGCTTCGGAACCTCCCCTTAAAAGGCCAACATCAATCATAACTCAAAGCTGGGGGTATACATCTGTTAGCAAACCCGACTGATACTATTTTACTTGTTTTATCTAATTATTCTTTTTCTTTTTAAAATCCTACTTCTTCTGGATGTGGAAAATAATACATTAGAGCCAACAACAGGCCAAAGATTTTTCTGGTTAAGAATAGTGTTGGCTTATCAGACTTTATAAAAATAACGTTTGTTTATTAGTGGAGAACGATGATAATGTTTACCCTGCCTTTTTCTGGTTTATGTATCGTTTACTAGGATTTGTGGCAACTTTGTTACTAGTCTTACCTAACCTCTTATAATATGAGAGGGCAAAAAACATTAGTACAAGATTAGACTGTAACAGGGGGCAACATTGGGAAAGGCGACGACTGTCGTAGACAACCCAGGTTAGTTTTGGTCCAATCACTTTCAAGGTGGTACAGACATCCTTTTTGTATGGAGTGGAGAGCATCTGTCCAGCAAACCGGACAAAATCGTTTCTACTGTTCCGTTCAAATCAACACAACTCACTTCGAAAGTTTCATGGCCACAGTCCTTTGATTTAGCTGCATTTTCAAAGTTTGAAGTCGCGATGAATGTTCGAAGACTTTCTTTTTTCCTTTAAAAAACCAAAAGAGGAGGTAATCCAATTTTATATCTTTCCCTAACAACCAATTAAGACAAAAAAATAAAGTTTAAATATTTTTTTAATGTTATAAATAATTTTATTGAGATATTTTTTATTGTTGTTTGTTTGTTTGTAAGAAATATATACTGAGAAGACAAATTGCATGTGTTTATTGCTTGTAAGACATTGTTTTAATGGACGAAAAGAAAACAAAAAAATAAAACAAAAAAGATATGTGGCAAATACAAAAAAAAAATGGAAGAGGAGTAGGAAACAACTTAAAAATTAACTAAATTAGATGTTGACTTATTTAATGGAAAATCAAATTATTTGTTTTTTTTTTACAAAAAAAGGACATTATGTGTAGTATGTCGTTACATGGTGCTATATGACAATTTATTTGTTGTATATAGAGTGTTTGTAATTTTTAATTATTTTTCAATGTCATTATGATGTTTTTTATTTTTTTTTTTTTTTGTTATAATTTGTTTTTTGAATATTTAGTTTAATTTTTCTCAAGTTTTCTTTTTTATTATAATTTATAATTTTTGTTTTGTTATTTCGTTTTTATTATTTTTTTTATTTTTATCATTTAAAATGATAGTTTAGGTAATGTTTAAGTGTATTTTTTCTTTTTGTTTTTTTTTATTATTTTTTTAGAATTATGGTCTTCTTTTTGTTTTTTCGTTAAATATCGTTAAAAATGCTTATTTTTTATTTATTTTTTCCTTTTGTTTTTTAATTACTTGTTTGTTTTTATACATTTATTATGTGTATTATTTGTTAACTTAAGTATGTACTTATTTTTTCATTTATAATATATAAATATTTATATATTTTGTTTTTTTTGTTTTTACTTCTGATAAAGCCTAGTTTGTTTTTATTTTTATTTATAGTATAAAGTTTGTTTCTTGTTGTTTTCTCTTTAAAGTTAAACTAAACATATAAAGTGATGATGTTGCAAAAGTAAGGTTATGTGTATGTTTTCTCGGTAGAATGTATAAAAAAATACAAAAAAAAAGAAATTCTTTTTAAATTATTATATAAGACAAAAAAAAAACAAATAGTTTATACAAATAATAAAAATAATAATAATAATAATAAAATGTAATATATATAAGTTTGTTATTATCACGTATCAGTTTTAATTAGAGGGTGCCAAACAAACCATTTCATAGACGGCGTAATGTAATGGAGACCTTTAAAAGGTTAACTATAGATAGAAGATTTTCTGAGGGCCTTTTACAGATGTAAAATCCTTTGGGTTTTGGGTAAGAAGTCCTTTAAAAGATCAGCTATAGATAGAAGACCTTCTGAGGGCCTTTTACAGATGTAAAACATTTTGGGTTTTTGCAGTTGTAAGAAGTCCTAATGGAGGTTTTGAATGGATGGAAGATCTTTTATGGATATAAGACTTAATAGACATCTCCTCTACAGAGAATACCTTTGAGAGATCTTCAACCTGATTTCAATTGATTTTATGGAGGATTGACTTTAACGACATCATCTAAAGAGAGAATACTTTGAAAGGTCCTAATAGAGATTTTCAATGGATGGAAGATCTTATAAGGATCTCCTATAGGTAAAAGGCTAGGCATCTTATAAGCAGAGAATACCTTTGAGAGATCTTCAACCTGATTTCAATTGATTTTATGGAGGATTAACTTTAAAGACATCTTCTAAAGAGAGAATACTTTGAAAGGTCCTCACTTGATACCATATCTTATAGAGTAATTCAATAACTCCAGAAGATCCTTAAAAAATGTAATTTGACATTTCAAAACTAAAAGACTTTTTCTTGATGTCAACTAAAAACAGAATTCTTTTGAAGGTCTTTTAAAAACCAATTCCTTCTGGGAGTCTTTCAGATATAGAATAGTTTCTTTAGATTTTCAAGGGATGGAAGATCTTATATGGATCTCCTATGGGTAAAATAACTTGATAGACATCTTCCAAGCAGAGAATACTTTTGAGAGATCATCAACCAGTTTCCAATTGATTTTATGGAGGATTGACTTTAAAGACATCTTCTAAAGAGAGAATACTTTCAAAGGTCTTCAATTGATACCATATCTTATGGAGTACTTGAATAACTCCAGATGATCCTTCCTATGGAAGAGTGTAAAAAACTGTAATTTAACAACATTTCCAAACTAAAGGACTTTTTTGATGTCAACTATAAACAGGAATCTTTTGAAGGTCTTTTAAAAAATCAAATGATTTCTGGGAATTTTTCACATATGAAATATCTTCTTGAGATTTTTTATGCTTAGATCCCTTATTGGTCTTCTATACAATGCTGACTGTTTACTAAGTATTTTACATCATGAAGGCCTTTTATGAACAGAAGATCTTCAAAGGGTCTGTCTTTTATGTGTGGTTTGTTGCACTCCCCCTAAAAAAAGTGTGAGGAAAGGCGGGGCAAAAAAAAAATATTGTTCTCTAACATAATCAATGGAAACTTAAATTACAACGATACCAATCTCTCTGTATATAAAAACATATTTTTGTAGGCGTTTTTTTTTCTTCTTCTTCTACTACTACTTTTTTTCATAACAAAGTTAAACAAATAAAAATAAATTTCGTTCTGATTTTTGTTGTTTTTATAAATTAAATTGAAAAACTCATATGCACACACTGGGGAAACGAAGTTCGTTGCCCTTCCTTAAGGTATTGTGGATTGCCTTTCTGGTATGTATCGCCATAGGTTCATTTTTTACCTCTTCTGTGTAATGTTCGAATATTGTATCGTTGCCCTGTGTTTTGTAATGACGATCACTTTCTTTCTTTATTAATCTCTAAAACCACATCATTTCGATTTCTATTTCTTTTTCTCTTTTTTCCTGTAAACAAAAAAGAAGAAAGAAAAAAAAATACAAAAACAAATTAAAATAAATTAAAAGGAACGATTTAAAAATAATATAGAAATATAAAAAAAATATATGTAATCTATTTTTGGTTTATAAAAGTTGGACAGACATAACCTAAAAACTAAGGAACGCTAAGTAAACAGGAATGGATTTCAATTAATACAGAAATATAAAAAAACAAGTAAAAATGCTAAGTTCGGACGGGCCGAACTTAAAATATTCTAATATCCTAGAAACGGAATGAATTTCAGATAATACAGAAATATAAAAAAAAAACAAGTAAAAAATGCTAATTTCGAATGGGGCTGAATTTTCAATATCGAACTATTCAATATCATCAAAAGACCATGAGGTAAAGGCAACATTTATAAATTATAATATTTGGATTTAATACTTAAACGGGTTCCACTTTCAACCACAAATACCTGTGAGATCGTTTTGAGAATGCAGTCAAAGTTTTCAAAATGCCATAAAATGGGCGATGAGCGATATCGTTATAGGGGTGCAGCAATACTAAAACGTGAACCTGTATGGACAATTTTCATTGCTACAAGAATTGTTTTATATTACGAAACTTAAAATCCGCAAACCATTCCGTGGAAAGTGTGAGTAGAATCCTCAAATTAACGAATATCGGGCGGTACCATTATTTGGATTATGAACTACAACTAACTAATCCGATAAAAAATGTTGCCTAAATCGTCACAATATCGAATTTCTAGAGGTATCTTTATATGGACGCTTTAGGAAAATGTGGAGCTATATAAAACATGCTCTGTCATCGGAGTTAGAAGAACCCATTACGAACTACAAATACCGAATTTTAAACAAATCCAATAGAAAATGTGGCCTACATTGTCGAAATTGTGAAATACCATAGGAAATTGTGGACCTTTATAGGAAATGCTATACAACAGGAGGTAAAATCAACCACAAATCTCAATTTGGAAATATTACGCGAAAAAATGTGGCTAAAATGACAAAAATACCGAATATCGGGAGCTAACCCGTTACAAGGTTATAAATACAAACTTTGGAACGATTCCGTGGTAAAGTGTAGCTAAAATCATTAAAATATCGCATTTCGGGAGGTACAGTTATTGGGGGCTATACAAAAACGTGGACCTACAAATCGGGGGCCGATATACCTTATTCGATTTCAAATTATGCGAAGAAATGATTGAAAAGATGGCAACGCCGTTTAGAGGTCTTTTTCGTACCTTGTGTACCCTATCGTTAAGCCAATGTGAAATGCTTTCATTTTTGTTTTTAAATTAACGTAAATCAATTAATTTACAACATAAATATTCGAAAATGTAACACATTTTGATGTTTGTGGAACAACATACGATACTATAAACAGCTGCTTTGTTAAATATCCTGTTGGAATAAAATGCAATATCTATAAAGAACACAAAAACCAAATCTGTTTCAGGACATTTGGAGTCGATCTAGCGATGTACGTACGTCGGTACATTTTCAAAGAAAATAATTTACTGCACAGAAAGAGGAAGGATAATCCGATTTTGCTCCAACTTTGCATCAGGTCTGGTGGGTAATCGACAATATCAGTTCACTCCATAAGTACCTTCCCCACAAAGGGTCATAATTTTGAATAATTATAACTTTTATATAATGCAATGTGAGTATCCGATTTTCTTTAAATTACACACATCATAATATATTTATTTACCCAAGGTCTGGTGTGAAGATGGGATATATTGGTCCACTCCTTCTGATACCTCCCCCACAAGGGGTGAAAATTTTGAATATCCCTGAAGCTCATAAAACGCGAAATTAACATCCGATTCTATTCAGACTTGGTACATCTCATTATTTCCATCAACACTAGATAGAAAGCGGGCCATTTTTTCTGGTACCTCCCCCACATAGGGTTCAAGATTTGAAAAACAAAACGCTTAAGGAAAGCGAAAAATCATCCGACTCTTTTTAAATTTCACACATCCAAAACATTTTTGCTAACACATGATCTGTTGTGAAAATGATATATATCTGCCAACGTCTTCTGGTATCACAACCACAAAGGGTCACAATTTCCAAAACTTTTATTTGTCACATAACTTGCAAAACATGTCTGCGATTGTTTACAACTTGCTATATATTAATATTTCTCTCAACCTGAAAACTGAGATGAATGCGGAATTGACATTTGATTTCGCATAAAATTGGATATAAATGCTAGATTTTCTTGTAATTTTGCCCATACCAATATTTTTAGCTGTATTAGATAAAGTGGGGAAATGGAATACTTCGGTCGACCATATCTGGTACCTCAGGCACATTTTAATATTTTCTAAAAATTATCACATGTCTCATATAAAGTGAAGGAAGTAACACGGATGGTCCGTGGCACGTCGCAATATTTATATCATATTTGTTTAGGACCGATATGAAATGAACAATATTGGCCCATTCCTTCGGAAGCTACTCTCCATAGAGGGACAACAATTAATAAATAATCATAAAACAAATCAAAATATATTGAAATAATCGGGCATTGACTGAGGGTATACATCTGTCGGCTAAGCCGACTGAGACTTTTTAACTTCTTAAAATAAAAATCCCTATTTGATGAATTGCTAACTGGTTTTCTCTAAAATTTTTGTTCGAAAAAAAAAAATCAAAAGTGACTTGATTTTTAAACATGTTACTCCATACATTACATGACATTTTCAGTAAATTTCCCAGTATAAATAGTGTGTATTTATATGAAAATGAAATAAAATTGCCAGCAGCATATATCGCTGTTGATTTTTGTTAGAAATATTTAAATTCCTTTGCAAATTTCCATTAGTTTGGCAACAAGGTATTTCTGGAGGAAAATACAATTTTAAGAGACAACTACTTGTTTTTCCTAGGAAATATTTTTCGAGAGGAAAGTTTGTTTACGAAAACAAAAAAATAATTAAAAAAATAATTTCATTAATTTAGTAACCAATACTTCCTATCTTCAAAAAAAAATAAAATAAATAAAGTTATAATAAATAAATAAATAAAATTATCAAACTGTAATTCCTAGCCCACATATCATTCGCGGCAAATTCTTTTAGTTATTATATTTTCTAAAAACCAAAACTAAATTACAACATAAGTTAAGTTTTGCAAAGTGAAAAATATGTGAAAAACGAAAACAAAATTTCAATCAACTATTTGTGAGGGGAAAACAAACAAAATTTTCTAAAGAACGAGCACCACAATAGAACATTATTCTTACAATCATAGGTCATCATCATCATCATCATTACTAATACAATTATCAGCATCAGTTTTGAGTGCCAAAAAGAAGAGAGGTTACCTTTAAAACAACACTATTTTGTAATGTGCTCGGTGAGTGTGTTATTTTTTTTTGTTTTGGGATGGTGGTTGTGTTCTTTTTTATTATTCTGGCTTGCAAGAATTTGGAATAAAAAAAACAACTTTTTATTTTCTTAGGAAAATATGCACGACAGCCAGGCAAAACAGCAATAAAATCTGTAAAAATTAAACGAAACAGAGAAACAGAATAGAGAAAGAGAGAAAAAAAGATTTTGGTTTTTTTGAAAACATTTCCAAAAACATTTTAGAAGAACAATTACAAAAATAACTGCTAATGGAGAATTTCTCTAGTAAGACCAACAATGTTGTGAAGAGGACAACAACACTACCAACAACCAGCCAACAAATGTAATATTTTGGGATTTAATCCAATGGGGAAAAAGCCACAAAAGCACAGAAAGACAAATGAAAGAAACCAACAGAAAAAACACAACAAATGACAAAGAGAAAAAGAAAAGAAGAAAAACGAAATTTTAAATAAAAAAAAGCCAACTGAAGTATACTTTTCCTGGTTGGCCATGAAAAAACAACAACATTGAACGAATGGCGGCAGGTGGACACAAAAGGATGAAATGTTCACAAATGATGATGATGATGATTATATATACAAAAGGTATTTGGGAGGTGGTACAACAGGAAAACACACAATTATGAAATTAAAGACATTGCATCGTTTGTATACTTTAATGCAATTTAATGCAGAAATTATATGATCCGCTGTGTGGGAGTTTGAAAAACAGAAAACAATCCTTGGTATTTTACACCCTCCTGCATGTTTAGCAGATTTACTTTCAGAAAAAAATATTAAAAATATGTATATAGAATATATTTGTAATTCGCTTTAATTTTGAACATATACAAATTCTTGAGTTCGTCATGGACCACCTCTTGATTTCCTTTACTTTTGGCAAATGATTTTTTTTTAAAGATTTTCAATGCAGTTTTTGCTTTCCAAACGCCCAAATTACCATTAGATTGGAAAAATGTTTTTAAACCTCTAATAATTTCAATGAACGAAATGGGTACCCGTAATATGAGGACCATATTTTGATATAAACCTGCCTCGAAAACTTTTTGCCTATATGTTAAATATTAATCGAGAAGTCGAAATAACAATTTGTCAATATGGTTCAAAATAAAACGATACCTATAAGAATAGCTAAAATCAGGCGACGTCTCCAAAAGCAGATGATAGAGGTGGTCCTGTGAAAAAAAGTGAACAGATTTCGTTTATATCCTCAGCCTTATGACTACAGAGCGTACAGATCATTTGGTACGGCCAAAGTGTGTCTCATCGAAACCCCTTTCAGGCCATTTGTAGTCAATATAGCGGTGTCCTACCAATCAATCCTACCTTCCGTCCTTCCAACTGTCTGGCTTAATGGTGCGCACGATAACTATAGAATGTGGTATCTGATTTCATCCATTACGATGTTCTAACGTAATATTATTAAACATATAACGAGTTCAAGTACCTCCCACACAAAATGTCAAAATTCTCAAAGAAAATAATTTACTGCACAGAAAGAGAAAGGATGATCCGATTTTGCTCAAACTTTGCGAATCCTAATATTTGCATCAGTGCTAGGTCAGATGCGAAAATGGACAATATCGGTACACCCCATCAAGTACCTCCCCCACAAAGGGTCAACATTTTGAATAATAATAACTCTTATAAAATGTGTTGTACGAAGACGCGGACCTGCATAAGTATTTTTTTGTCATAGGCTTTAGTACCCATTAAGATCTTCAAATACGATATTTTAAACAATTCCGGTGAATAGTGTATCTAAAATCAACAAAATACTGAATATCGGGAGCTACTGTTATACGGGGGCTAAACAAAGACGTGGACCTACATAGCCAATTTTCTGTCATAGTACCCATTACGAACTATCATTACGAGATTTGAAAAGTGAACAGTGTCGCAAAAATCATCAAAATACCGAATAAAGGGAGGACCTATATAGTTCATTTTCAATACCAAAAGTCCCGCAGACGAAACACACATTTGAGTAAAATTTCATCAACCTACTTCGATTCGTCCGAAAGCTAGAGTGATTTCCACAGACGGACAGACGAACGGTCATCGTTAAATCGACATAGAATTGCATGCGGCTCAAGAATATATATAATTTGTGGGTGTAAAATGTATAATTCGAGGTGTTACAAACGAAAGGACAAAGTTTATATATCCTGCATATTATGGTGCAGGGCATAAAAATGGGTTTGAAGGTCTTTCGAGAAATATCTTAAAAATCCACGTCCTTTAGAAAAAAATTTTTTAAAAAAATCCTCGTTTGTGGTTTGAAGAGGAAATTTTGGAAATTTTATGCTGAAAAAAGAAAATAAATCTCCGACGAATAACATGTCATTGAGGTTTTGCTAGGGCAGTAACGATCTCTTTCAGGACAATCATGAATATTATCTTATCACTCTAGTTTCGGAAAAAAATCTCCTTAAAAAATAAAATTTTAAAAATCCAAGTTTGAAGGTCCTTGGGAAAAGGTTTTAATAAATCAAGGTTTGTAGCTTTACAGGTCCTTAGGAAAAAAATTTAAAAAAAAATCCAAGTTTGTGGCTTTGAAGGTCATTGAGAAAAAATCTTAAAACCCCAAGGTTTAAATGTCCTTGAGAAAAAAAAATCTAAGTTTGTGGCTTTAAAAACATTGAAAAAGACCATATTTGTGAGGCTTTGGTGCTCCTTAGGAAACAATTTTAATACTCCACGTTTGAAAATTTAAAGCCATTTAAGAAAAAAAAGAAAGCTACGTTTGTTATTAAAATATCCTCATGTATGGCCTTCAAGGTCCTTGAGAAAAAAACAAATGTATTGCTTTGAAAAAATCTTAATTTTTTGCTTTACAAAAATCTTAAAAAAAACTTAAGGTGAGAATACATAAAACGCTATTCTGACTGGCTTAAGTCATCGTCTGGCATTTGAAATTATTTCCGAAATTAAGGTGGAAATACATAAAGCACACATTAGGTTGGCTTAAGTCATCGACTGGCTTCTTCGAAGATGAAGAATGAAGTTTTAGGTTTACTTAGTTCGATTTTGGTCCTAGGCTCATTTGTTCATTTCCGAAGAAGCCAGTCGATGACTTAAGCCAGCCGGATAAACGTTTTATGTATTCCCAGCTTTAGACTGGCTTAAGTCATCCGTTGGCTTCTTCGTAAAAGAAGAAAAGAGTTTTAGGTTGACTTAGATCGATTTTTACCCTAAACATATTGTTTTTTTTTTTTTTTTTGCGAAGAAGCCAACCGATGACTTAAGCCAGTCTAATTTCGGAAATAAAAATGTTCAATATAGCGACTGGGAAAACATCGGCCCGGAATATTAATTCATAGTTGACCTGTATATCTATCCTAGTTTGCAGTAAATTTTATTATCATAACTTTGGAGAGATCAAAAACAACGCTGTTCATCGAGTGAACTGTCATTGTCCTAATTTTTGACTTCGGGGTTTTTCAAGGATGTCGATCCTTCAATGACAGTTTCCGATGTCATGAACTTTGCCCTCCGAAATGGTACCTTTAGCTTGATAATTAGGGAAAGTTTTCAGCGAATTCTGAGGCCAAATTCACCAAAATTAGTGAATTTTTTTATCCGCCTAATTTTTTATGATCTTTTTAAGAAGGACCATCATAGTACTGATCAAAACATGTCACTTCTTACTAACATTTACAAAACTATATGGACTTTTAATTGAAATGATTTAAAACAATAAAAATTTAATTAAAAAAATACATCTTGTTTCTGTGTTTCTAAATTACAATTACAAAATAACTTTAAACCAATAAATTATGTTAGTGAATATCAATAACCTTTAGTTTTCTAATTGTATAATTGTTTTTTCAACATTGTCCTATGTGGATGTGGCGGGAGGGTTGGGTTTAAAAGTCTGCATGAAAGCAATAAATGTAGGGAGGAGGGCAAGGATGTGTTGATGGCTCTACAAAAAGTCAGCTATTTGTTTAGAATCATTTCTAAATTGTTTAATATCTATTCTACTTTTTGTTGTTGTAATATTCAATTATTTTTTTAATGTTTTTTAAGTCTCTTCAACACTTGATTTTGTTATGGTTTCAGTTTTGTTTTTTCTTTATATTATGTTACATAATAATAAACTCTACATATATGCCTATGTAAAATCATGGTATTTTTTTATCTCAATTTTCAGTTTTTTGCTTTTTATTGTGGATTTTTAAATATTGATTGCTAAATGGAAACAAACAACCACTTAAAATTCTATTTATAAAAAACGTTTTGATAACTATTATTATTAATATAAATGTGTTATGGGTTTGTTGTTTTAAAAATGTTATTTTCGTTTCGTTTTTATATTTCTTCAGTGACAGTGCTGCTGCTAGTGATTGAAAGTCAGGGTGACTTGGGAAACCTCTCTTTAAATCTTGAGGAGTTTTTAAATAATGAAATTGTATTTTAAGTTAAAATTAATTAAAGGAAATCAAATATTTGGGAAAGTTTGAATGCATTTTTCCGGACTCTCTTCCTCTCTCTCTCTTAATCCACTAAGTTTGATTTAATTTCATGAAAATGTTCAAAGGAAAGTTTGGAGCAGATGAATGCATTATTTTGGTTTCTCTCTTTCTCTCTCTCTCTCTCTCTTTCTCTTAACCCACTTATTTTGATTTAATTTCATTAAAATTTTCAAATTTGTTTTAATGCCAGACACTGGAAATTATCTTTGTAACAGAATGATAGTTTTTGGTAGAGAGGGAGCCACGACAAAACAATTTTTCTTATCCTCCTCCGGTTTTTCAGTAGTCAAGACAACTTGCACTGCCTGGAAGAGGAGTCAAGGCCATGTACACGAGACAAAAATTACTAATTCTTGGCTTGGCCTTAATCTGTAGTAACATTTCAACGAGGACCTTATTTTGATGATAATCAGATATGAACGTCTATTTCATGACCCAAACCAGAGGGAGAGGGAGCCACGACAGAACAATATTTTTCTTATCCTTCTCCGGTTTTCCTGTAGTCAATGCAGTGGCTGGAAGAGGAGTCAAGACCATAGACGCGATCAAAAAAAGAACTAATCCTTGGCTTGGCATTGATTCGAAGTGACATTTCAACAACACCCTCATTTTTATGATAATCAGATATGAGCGTCTATTGCATGACCCAA